AGAGCGGTTAGCGAATTGCCAAACGTTTCAAGCACGCGGCGCAGATATATTCCGCGCCTCGTGCGCGGCCCGATAAGGACTTTCTCGGAAGACGTAATTTCTCATCATTAATCTTTGCTGCGCGTCTCTTCGACCGCAGTGAACAACCCTGTTTATGAATTGCTTCACCGCGTAATCTTACTTGACACAATGACGTAAAAATTCATCGATATCCGATAACAGCATTATTTTAACTTCTTTGAATTTTACACGAAAAAATTACATAAATTTTTGCCTACTTTTTCAAAAATTGCATATTCTATATGTAATTGACATTTTAAAAAACATAACTTTAAAATTGAAGTCAATCGTATACTTATCAATGTGTATGCAACGATCATAGATTCTATAAAAAAAGAATAGAGCTCTTTTTTACCTAATCTATTGTATACAAAACGATTATGTTTATACGGATGGAAAAAGAGCGAATATGTATCGCGAAAAAATTGCGATCATTAAAATAACTCTGTCGATCGTCCCCGTACTTCGTCAACGCGAATTTTGATGAATAAGCGGAAAATGAATAACGAATTTTGGCAGAATCATTGATCGGTCATTATGAGTTTTGTAATGTGACACTCGAAGGGTGAACTATGCTTTGACGTTAATTTAATGTCACGTTATCTTTCGTATATTTCGCGATTTATTATAACTATGTCGCTCGTAAAACACACATTTTTATAAGAAATTGATGCCGCTTAACGTATCTCCCATCTACTTGTATCCAAACATTTTCAATTTTAAATTGAGAATAAATGTGATAGAAAGCTGTTGTATTTTATATCTAATAGTTAATATTATACGTGTTCTCTAATAGATCACGATATATAAAAATTGCATTCTCTATTAAATCTCACTCAAATCCAATTTTTATACCGTATAATTTCTACTTTAATGAAATTATTTTCTAAGATGAAGCACGCGCATTATATCGTTAATCTTCGGCAACAATTCAAAGGGCAATTAAAAACATTCGACTATCCGCTCACCTCCGTCGCTTCTTTTTCCGTCGCCTCCGTCGGCGAGGTCGCCTCCTCCTAGGTTCCCCCCTGTTCAAGGGGGTAGTTGCTCTCCCTTGTAGTTTCAGGGCCGTTGCTGCTACGCTAAACTCGATTTCTTCCCCTGTCTCGCTTCTTCCCTGCACCGGGGGCCTTGTCTCCGCCCCGGCGCTGGGCCCCGTCGTGGCTGGTACTTCCCTTCGCGCACCACCTTCTCGGAAGTCTTTGTCCACCAAGAGCGAACGAATTCGCCGACAGTCACCGAGCCAGGTACGACGGGAAACTGCGTGGGATCAGAAAAACCCAACACCGTCGACGAACCATGTGTCCTTCGAATGGACTCACTGTCTATTGGGTAGAGCAACCATGTGAGTCCATTCACCATCACCCTTTTCTCACTTTCGCCCTCGCGAGATCTTCGCAAACGGTTCTACGCGAACTCGAGGAGTTTACACAGAATACTCGGCACGTTTATCGTCGGGCTTCAATCCGATCCTGATGATACTGCTTCTTGGAATAAGTTTCTTATGTTTCTTGGATTGTCTTACAAGGATAGATTTCGCGAAATGATCGGCTAACAAAGCTGCGCGTGCTGATGAATAACGATAAAAAATAAGCGAGCGATCGGTTTAGCGCAACATGAAGCGGATCAGATCATCCAAAATTATTCTCATCCACGCACCTCGCACCTCTATTCGGATGAAATCGCCGACGAGAACCTGAGTTACTGGTTGCGGACTTTATCAAGACACAGTGAGGATAACGTTCGCGCGAGATCGACTGTATTCAATGATCTGCGATTTAACATTGATCAACAAGATCTACAATGTCCAAAATCTACAACGCAAAACTCAGTTCTGGAACGAGATTTTCTTGTACCAGCGTAAAATCGAGCCTCGCAGTTTAAATGAAGTTTCCTCGTCCTTTTTATCCTTCCTTAGATTAAGATAATACACGAGAATATATATATCAATGACGAAACAATTTGAATTGTCACACAGCTTCTCTTCAATCGTTCGACGTCCTCATCAACATACAACTTTAGCGCGAGCCAAAGCCCGATGATCCCGGAAGTTACTTTATTTTTTCAGAGTACCAGAGAGAAAATAAACGTCAATCCTTCAGGATTTGTTAACTGGAACTTGATCGTCGTGTCGTTTCAGACTTTCGTCCCGCTGCCGCAAGTTTCTTGACGAGCTCGCTGTTGCACTCGAAGGCGTACCGCACGTGTGTCGCGTCGCACGAGAAACCGTAATCTCGAGTGATATCATTCGTCACCGGACCAATTCCGTACGACGCGGCAGCATCCCGTCCACGATCGGCGGTCCTCGCGGTTGGCGCTCGGTGCGTGTCAGCCAGCGTCGGGACAGCTCTGCGCTCGCCGATACCCATGGAAAACCGCGGACGGTGCCGCGGTGATGTATATCTTAAGCGAGAGATGCGACGACTCTGATCCGCGAATTCCGCCCGCTCAGTTTCGCAGCCTCCGAGCCGGCGGCGGGACCGGAGCGCCGCGACGCGAGGCGCCCTGTGCACATGCGTTAAGCTTCGCTCCCCCGATACACCCGCGTATCCCCCTTTGGCGTATCCTTCTCTCTCTCGCTCGCTCTTTCTCTCTCTTTCTCTCCCGCTCTCGCTTTTCTCTTGACGCCCCCGTGATCCGCCACGATGGTGGTTGTGTACAGCAACCAGAGAGAGAGTCCCGTCTCCTCTGTGTCCGTCTTCGGGAGACACGGGGAGACTCGAGGGGCACCGCGGGACACTCGAGAGAGAGAAGCGTCTATCGTATATACTATATACTGTTACGCTGTTCCTTTTCTGCGTCAACAAGGACGACGCGTCCCGATCGGCGTTCTTTGTTACCGATTACGTCATACAATTTCAGTAACGCGATTTTCGTAATATCGAAATTAAATGCCGAAACGGATAAGAGCAACTCGAGAGTTTTAACGTCTCTGCCTTTTGAAATATTCAACGAAAGAACAAGCGACTGGGTCATGTATCTCAAATTAGAATCATAACAATAGATAAATTATAATGATATTATCGCAGATAATACTAATGTAATTCTGAAAACTAGGACATAATATATTTCGCGTTCTATTTCCATGTTACAAAATGACGTACGGCGGTTGATTTCTTTCCTCAAGATATTGGATTACATTTAATCATTTAATTTATTGTACGCGTGCATTTCTCACACAACTGTACGGCAGAGCCGACACACACGGCCTCGGGGACTAAATCACGAATCTATTTCTTCCTTCGACTAATTTTAATCCCCAGAAATAGGCTCAAAATAGCATCGCCGATGCTATCTAAACCATCGTACTCGCGCACATCGCATCACATCCACGTGCCACTCATTCAAGCTTCTATCAACCGCGGGCGTACGCGATTCGAATTGAATGCC